AATTCAAGTTGAATGTATTCTTCTCGGTAAAATTTTGTTTTATTCTATATTTATGAGGTTTTGTATTTCTTTAATTTTGGAAGTGCAAGTATTTGCTGTGATAGGTGTAGTTTCTTTCCTCAGAAATCATTCTTTCTCAATTTCTGATAATTTAATTTTCAATGTTTCTTTCACTTCTTTTTAAGAAACATGGATTATTTCTAGGTGGAAAATTCATTTTCTCTGACACATACCCAACACATCGTTCTCATAGTTGTAAATTCTATTTTTCATATTTGCATTCTAAGGAAGTTGAGCCTTCACATGTGTTTTATAAGAGTTACAGATTCTTTTGACGGTGGACACAACACAATGACACTTAGACAGATGAAAGGCAATTTTTCTTTGTTATTTTTGCCTCCAAATGAGAAAAGGCTGTCAGACCGGGTCACACAGGGAATTATACCAGGGACAGGGCAATATCAAGCTGGAATCCCCAGGAGTAGCTTGTATATGGCAAGTGAAATAAGGTTAGCTACATTTCAATGAATCCCTTTGTATGTCTCACTTAAAAAATTGTCCAGGTTCTGGGGCATAGAGCCTGTCCTATTCTCTGGTACTTGGAAAATCAGAAAATAAGTAGAATTGTTGAAGCCCTCTTAATTTAAATAAAGTTATCACACTTTAATTTCCCTCTATTGGGGATCATGCTTTAAAAATAAAACTAGTGACTTCAGATTGATGCTATTGGCTAACAGTAGGGCTGTGAGGGTGGGTGCATTGTGGTGGGTGTATGAGAGCCCAGTAAGGGAAGTGGTTGGGGTGTGAATTTCATTAGCTGGGCAAGAAGGTGAGCTGATTAACCTCTAACCAAATAATTTCTAACCTCTAACCTCATAACTGAATCAAGACAGCATTTAAAAAAATAATATCACAGTATTACTAGGTAATAGAACAAAATCTAAATTCTGTTCTCTTCTGTTTTTAATGTGGATATAAAACTTACTAAAAATTTGGAATCTTACTAACCTCTTTTTCTATCTTGTTACACAGCTTCTGTTAGGACCTGGGGTGTGTATTTGTCTATTAATTTCTCTACCAAATTTAGCTATATTTAGGGGTAGAAAACAAAGAAAATTTTTATCACAATACTATGTGGGAGGACATGCAAAACTAGTAACATTTGAGGATGAGTTCTCTAGATAAAACCTCTAGTTAGTGAATATGGAAATTACAATTGTCCAACATTGCTATTGATTACATTTTCTTTTTAGGGAATTTTGTGACTGAGAATCTTTTGCCTGAAATTAAGTTTTCGTGTTATAAGTATCGTTATCTATATGTACTACTTTATGTATCCCCCTGTCACAGATCACTACTGAACACGCTATAATCAATACTCTAAATAATGAAGTGTTAGTTCATAGAATTACATAAATTTCACATTTTAATCTTTTCAAAGCCAATTCAGAGTAAATGGTCTAATCAGAGCATTTAAGTGAACAAAATTTACTCTTTCATTGCCTATGTAGTCATGATTCAAATCACCTTCTACATATGAGCATATATTTGATAAAATATTTTATAAACTATAAATGGACCATACAAATGTTAGACATTATTATTCTGGTTATCTTATCTGGCATCTGGACGTGAATTAGATTTAGTAAGATTTGTACTTGGGAAATAACTTTATTATTATTTATATCAAAGGATCACAAATAAATACATGTATATACATATATACATATGTGTGTGTGTGTATATATATATATATACACTTTAGTCCTTCGATTGTCAGTGTTCTGCTGATTTTTACAAAAAAATAGTCAGATGACTTAGGAATACTCCAGATTCCACTACTTAGCTAGTTCATTCAGTGAATCATTTATTCTCTGAGCTTTGCTCTGCTCCTCAGAGACTTGTATAATTTCAAAATTAATTAAAAACTTGTAATCACATAAACCATCTTCTTCTAAAAATCATCTTCATTTTTAAAATGATGTAACCATGACATAGAAGGCTAAATTGGACTAAACAAAATGTGGCAGTATTCGTAGTTAAAGTGCTTGAATAACCCCTGTCCTTTGATCTAAGCATGTTGAACTGTATAATATGTTCTGTTTTATAGTTGCACTGAGGTAGAATATAAAAAAGTTTGGAAGCCATAACATGCTGTAGCATTTGAAGGTTTATTTATTTAATACTAATGATAGTTTGGTATTTAAATAATTTTTCCTCATGATATCATTTCTTTAGTAGTTACAGTTATTCTGATCAATCTTAGTAAAGTGAATGCTTGAAGAATATATTAACATTAACAAAATGCAAGCAAGATAAATTTTATATCACCAAATAAAGAGCAAATCCTACAAGACAAAAACAATGTCAGAGCTGTCCTGTTATCATGAATACCCTTTACCTAATGTGTTTATAGCCATGCGTGTTCATAGATAACAGTCCTAAAAACCCACCTACAACTTCCAAGGAAAGACTCCTACAGCCACTCACATACACAAATAGAGAGTGAAAAAATACCCTAAAGCTCCAAGTTTAATGGGAAACACTGAATATATTTTAAAATCCCACAGACATACTTAGAATTGAATAAGAGTAAAATAGATTGTAAATTACTAATGGACAGGGTTCATTTCGAAGATGATCCTTCAGATTTTCAATGTATATTTAAAACTTTTATGGAAAGCTACAGGCTGAATATTCAGCTATAAATATCCATCTGACTTGTGTAAGGTGGCAACTGCTGATCCAATTTTTTTTTAAATTGTCTTTTAACAAGAAAACCTCTTTTCTGTTGAAAAAGCATTTTCTTCTAGCATGTGTTCTATATGCTTTGTTTCCTCCTTTATGCATTTCTCAACAAGAGTGACCCAGATGTGGAAGGGGTAGCATCATTTATATACCTCAGCATAAATTAACAGTCAAATTGATATATGATTTTTATTTATTATTTCTCTATTTCAGTATATTTTGTGACAATCTCTTACCAAATAGATTATTAACAATTCAACTTTATAATCTGCTAGTGCTAATTATAAATCATATTTATGTGTGTGCGTGACTTATCGATGTGTTGAAAATACATGTTGTATTCCAAAATTTTAAATTATTTAAACCATTTCCCAGGCATAGCAAACTAAAAAAGTAAAACTTTCTGGTAGATTTTGCAGTTTAAGACCCACACAGAAACTAAAAGGCTTTAAGAGTCTTATAGGAGTTTTGAAAAAATACTTTCAATCAAAACTCTAATTCTACTGCTCACTACTTACCACAATAACATATGTTCAATGACTAATTCTGAATGCAACTTACATTTTCTGAATCCTAACAGGGTCCTTTGTGTTTAGAATCACTAGATAATTCAAAAGTGAAAAGGTTTATTCATTCCATAGCTACTTACACATATTTGAAAAAAAAGTAAGAGAAGTACAAAGTATAGAATTTGTAATATATGGTAAATAGATTTTTGGCCTCAATTATTTTTATTCCTTTCTTTACTCCTTCCATCAATCCATCACAGATCCTTGCCCAATTGAGAGAAAATGTTGTGTTTTCATGGCTCTTATTTGCCAAGTAAAGAGTAATATTTCACAAATACTTTTCTGTTTAAGGAAATAGATCTTGTCATTCATTTCCTGGATATTTATTACATATGTACTATGTGCCAGGCACTGTCCTGGAGCTAGAGTATGTTAAAATATCAACCACAAAAAAGATGCATGATCTTTGTTCTCCTCAAATTCACCATGTAGTAGATGAGACAAACATAAAGACTTAAAAAAATGCATGTAATATTATAACTAAGAAAAAGCCTTGAAGGAGAAGTGAATATTCCTATGACGGCATAAAGGTAGTTGAACAAGTCAAGGAGTCAAGAGAAAAGATTTAGGAGATGACTGAACTGAGTTCTGAATCCAAAGGAGGAGTTAAATAAAGAAAAAAAGTTGTGATTAACTTGAGCAGAAAGATGGGAAATAGCTTACACATTAGTATCCTCTATTCTCCAATCATGAGATTCCTATTTATGTATGTCTAATCAATACGCAAGAGAACTTTTTCCATCAACTTTGTTAAAGGTATTCTCACAGACACTTCAAGTAAAATATGAAAAAGAGAGTTCAGATGCTTCTTAGACATTGACATGCATACATGTTATTACTGATATTCGCGGCTTTCATTTCCAATGTGGCATTTCTAACAAATAATTGGCAAAAATCTGTAAATTTTATTTCATTGTTTCCTTGGTGGTCTCTAAATTGAAAACAAAAGGTGAAATTTAGAAAACTAACTCTATTGGCTATATTTAATTAAATATAATATGCTTAATTAAAATAGATTACTATATACCTGTGAATGGCATTTTTCTCTGATGGTTAATGGTTTTCATATTCACAGGCATTATTGTCAGGATAAAAAAAAGTAGCAATACATATAAAGTATATCTAGATCAGGAGCCATAAAAAATAATTCCTGATTTATTCCAACATTTTCCTGCCAACATATACTGCATATTCTCCTTATATACTAAAAATTCACTTGATACATGAAAAAAAAATTTAGTACTGAGTTCCTTAGAATTTTCCAATTCATAATTGAAAATGTATGATGGTTAGTAGAGCAAATAATTTAAACTTTCAGAGCCTCTATGCTTTCATCTAAGAAATAGTTATAATAATAGTTAATAAAGTTTATCCAATAATTAAATTAGGTAATTTATTTTAAAATCTTATAGCATATTTGCTTACAGAAATACGCACTCATTGTTTGTAGCCTATATTTGTAACTTAATATATAAATAACACATAATTTATAATTGTTATTGTAACTGATAAGAATTGTTCATTACTTATTTTATAATTAAAGTCTGGGGGTTTTGACGGCCGGTTAGGGCAGTTTAAAACTCCCTGAAGGGAAACAGAGCCTCTTACTCACAGGAAAGAGAGAGGTGGCAGGGTTTCAGAAGAGAGGAAGACCGGACAGTTTCGCAATTCATACACACTCACCTTCCAGGATCCCGGTCGAGGTCCCCAGCTGAAAAGGGAAAGGCTCCCTCGTCCCCTCTCAGGGCGCGTCCGTGACTGTTTTCTTCAGTGCCCCGCTGCTGAGACCTCTAGGGAGCACACAGATAGGCAGGCTATGGAGCTCCTACCCCAGGGCAGGGTCTAGGGGTGAATGTTTACAGCTCCTGAAGCCCCACTGGGCATGTGTTACAGGATACTCGCTAGTCTGCCATCTACAGGCAGCTCGTGTTAACTAGCTCAGTTAGGCCCTCGACCTCCTGGCAAGAACAGAGGGCTTTCTGTATTCGGGGCTCTTGCCTTGGTGTACCTGAAGAATCGGATCACACATGGGCTTGGAGAATGAGTGCAAAGTTTTATTCAGTGGAAGTAGCTCTCCGCTGTGGGGCAGCCAGAAGGGAGATGGTTTTCCCCCGGAGTTGGGATGCTCTGCAGGCCGGACTGTCCTCTGACTGCCCAGGCCAACCTCCGCCTCCTCCCGCTGGTCCACGGCCTTCTGGCTTCCGGCTTCTGCCAACGTGTTCTTCTACTGGCCTGCTCCTATGGACGACCAGTCCTTTGTCTTCTTCCCCTGATGTGTTGCTCATCAGGACATCCAGCCACTTGTGTATCTGCCTGCAAGGGTCTCAGGTTTTTATAGGCCCAGAATGGGAGCGTGGAGAGCCAGGGTGGTCTTGGAAAATGCGACATTTGGGCGGGAAAGCATTTGTGCCTGTCCCCACCTAGGTCCCTGGGGGTAGGAACCCTAGCCAGGGACCAGGCTCTCCTCTCCCCAGCACTTCCCTTCCCCTCTTCATTTAAAGGGACCACGCTCTTCCCTTCCCAGGACTCCCTTATCAATTTTATAATTAAAATGAAGTCCACCAAAACTCCTAATGATGAAGTGTTAGAAAAATTCTTATTAATATAAGGAACATTATAAGTATTACTACTCTCATGACTTCAGTCTAATATTATTTTAGATTATTCAAAATAATGGAATTAGACAAGCTAAATAAATTAGTGGTGAAAATATGAAATCATTGAACGCAAATGAACACTTTTTTGGGTAGATAAGATAATTTTGTATAAGGCTACAATAGAGCTGATTTTTAAACTTAACCAGCACAATATTGCATTAGACTTAGTTTTAGCCAGAGTTTTCTATACACTTGTCTATAATTGGTGGGAATTTTAAGCCACTGTGCAGTTCTTCCTGATTATGCACTCGTTACTTTATATCAGCAGTTTGGAATTGGTCATGGTGGGAGTATTTACATCACAGAAAATTTAAAATGTCACAAATTAAAGTCTACCTCCCACTCCCAACCCCAGAAAGCTGGCTGTCAAACTTTACTAGCACCCCTCTGCATCAGACTTATGTTTAGCCAAGCAAAGTGTTCTATATATCTTACTGTAATAACTTGTTTATGGATGAGATGTGAACTGAGAGCCTAAGATGAACATATCAGAGAACTTATTGCAATATTTCTTTTTATTTTAGATTTTTGCCAAGGTTTTGGGAAAACGTGGTCTCTTCTTGATAGCGTTTCAAAGCAGGAACTTTGGAATCCTTGGCTTCTGGCCACCCGTATAACTATCTCATGGAGAGGTCCTTGCCAAGAGATGGAAAACAGAGTCCTGGTAATGCTAATTGTCTCCCTAGATAGAGTTGTACCAGAAGTCAAACTAAACTCAGATTTTTGCATGCATAAGCCAATTGTTTGTCTGTTTTTCTTTATTATTTGATTCTGCATTCTATCACTGTTAAATAAATTTTTTCCTGAATATCACATATATATTAGTAACAAACTCTAAAATATTATTTGCTCCAAGACTTTAGAAATAGATAATGAGGTAGATCTTTTCCTAACACATTTTAAGATGAACAATGAAGACTGTTTTCACCTTTGCTTTATGGTGTGGAGGTAAAAAATAAGGAAATTCTCATTTATTTTATTTTTGGAAGAAAGATAGAGTATGGAATACCTCTGAGTTCGAAGGTTTACTTTACATATTTGGATATCTCCTAGATTTTTTCCATTCCTCCCATTGTTTTTCCAAAGCCCAAACTTTTTATAGGAACTTAAAGTAGGTTATTTGAGGGGAGAAAAGTTGCTTTAAATTATTCCCTGTTGATTTCAGATGCTTAACACAGATTCTAGAAAGTCTTACTTTCTCCCAAGGAATAACTAATACCCTGTGGTATTAGGCAGGCTCTTTACACAGTAACATCATGATCATTTTTAGCAAAAGGAAATGGTCTGTGATTATTGAGCTATTATTTCCCATGAGTCCTCAAAAAGATGGACTAGGGAAAGCTAATCAGTAGTTTTGTCAGTTTCTTACTATTAGTGTGATCATCTGATGTGTTGGAATGTACAGATTGCCTATGGGGAGAAGAGTGTCATTTCTCTTTGGAAAAATAACCTGCCTAACTTATCTTTATAGAACCTCAGGAAGTCTTTATTAACTTACAATTTTTAATCATTAATACAGGCTTAGATAAGTAGGTTGTATCGGCAAATAGGATTTCAATTTATCTAAGACCATAGTCACAATATTCATGATTTTTGTTTGTGGAAGTGAGTCTTAAATATCTTTGAGAAAACTAAAGTGATAATGAGATATTTTGGAGGTTCATCTTAAAATTTTAGAAGAATACAATAATAGTAATTTGTTCGGATTTCTGGTCTGTGATGTAAGAAGCTTGCAAATTGTCACTCTATCTCAAGTAAAAAGCTGAGGAAACTGAAAAATCAACAACTCTTCTTATTTTCAAAGGACACAAGCGGTTTGGAGGCAAACCACTGTCCCCCCAAATTGGAGAGACTGACATAAATACAGAGAAATAAAATTTACATGAGTAGACACTCACCAGCTGAAACCTCTGTGGAAACCAGTGCAAGGGTGGAGAAACCTGAACTGTAATTGATGAACTGCTAGAGGTCCAGTAAGCACAAGTTTGAAAGTTAAAAATTCCATAGTAACACAGTCATGGAGGTTGAGTTCACATACTCATAAATTTTACCTCCAAGAATTCTACCAGATCCTCATAGTGAATACGGAAAAAAACAATCACCTCATGCTGTCCACACACTCGTAAATTTTACCTCCAAGAATTCTACCAGGTCCTCATGGTGAATATTGAAAAAAATCAGCTCTTTCTTCCCAGCAGGAAGAGGGGAAAAGGAACCATTTTGAAATACTCCAGAGCATTCTGTTTTCTGTAATAAAGCTTGCACAAGGAGGGACTATTTAATAAGAGCTTAACCTGCTGGAGTTTTCTCAGAGCCTAACTTACCCGGAGAAATGAGGAGACCCAACTTCATCAAGCTCTAGTCTTCCATGTGGAGGAAGGGAAAGACCAACTTCAGCCAAGTCGAACTATCCTGTCCCAAGAAGGGGAGAAAAGGGGAATAAAGAAGCACATGTGAATTTCACAGCTGAGAAGCACAGGCTCACTATAAAACTGAGACCTAGTCAAAGACTATACAACCCATTCCTGCCACCTACACCTTACCACCACATTACTAAAGACCTACTAATAAACTTAATTTTTACCCAGTACATCATTTCTGACCATCAGGGAAAAAAATTACAAGGCATACTAAAAGACAAAAAAATACAGTTTGAAGAGATAGACCAAGCATCAGAACCAGACTCATATATGTCAGGGATGTTGGAATTATCAGACTGGCAATTTAAAACAATTTTGATTAATATGCTGAGGTTATTGTTATGGTTTCTTTCTAATTTGATCTTAAAGTCTCACTCTTGAGAGTGCTCATAAGGCAAAATATTCACTTTCCAGAGGAAAGTAAGTTTTGGATGTGTTGGTGAGGTGAGACACAATGAAGAAGTGAAACAGAAATGCTTGCAACAGAAAAAAAAAGATTACAGATTCCTGAGAGGTTAGAAGTTCCATCCAAAGGGAAAAGGAACGCTGGAGGTGACAAGGAGTTCAACCAGCAGGTGGGAAGTGAGAAAGAAATAGAACCTGTAAGTCTATGCCTTTATTTATAGGCATGTGGGTTTATGGACATCCCTTAGGCTTCGTCATGGGATATGTAGATTGCTTAGTTTAAAGAAACACATGTGAAGGAATGGACCTATTTACAAGACTCTGGTGTCAACCATTATGTTTGACCATGGTCAGCAGCTATGAAGTGTGTTGAGTTTTGGATCTGCTAGATAAGAAACAAGTGGACTATATTATCCACAACCACTAAGTGAGGGGAAGTTTTAACTAATTCAAAGGTGAAAAACTATGACTGGGTTTCAGAAAAATTAATGTCAGGCTTAAAAATGGATGGTAAGGCAGCAAATATATCATACAAATTTATAAGAAAAGAGCTCTAACGGATAAAGTAGGCAGCTTTCACAAACAGGAAAAAAAGTAAAGAGATGAACCTTTTAAGAAAGAACAACAAAAAGGCTGGAGATAAAAAATGTTATAACAGAAACAGAGATGCCTTTGACAGGCTTGTAAGTAGATGACACAGGGATGAGGAATCTCTGAACCTGAGGATACCTCAGTAGAAACATCCAAAAGTTTAAAAGGAAACAGGAAAACAAAAAGGCAGGAAAAATAAAACAGAATAAAACAGACCACAATATCTAAGAACTGTGGGATAGTCGCATAAGGTATAACCTAACTCTAAAGGAAATAGCAGGAGAAGAAGAAAGTAAGAAATAAACAGAAGAAATACTTCAAACAATAATGACTGAGAATTTTTCCAATTTAATGTCAAATGCCAAACCACAGACCCAGGAAGCTCAGAGAACGCAAAACAGGATAAATGTCAATAAAACTACACCTATACATATCATTTTCAAACTACAAAAAATAAATAAATAAATAAATAATAAAATAAATAATTTTTTTTTCAATTCTGAAAAAGCCAGAGGAAAGAAACACCTTTCCTAAAGAGGAGCAAAATTAAGAATTCTATTCAACTTCTCCCAAAAACTTTGCATTAAGAAAAGAGTGGAATGAAATATTTAAAACATCAAGGGAAAAACCTCACCAACCTAGAATTCTGTACCCTGCAAAATTATCCTTGCAAAGAGAA